AGATAAGCTGGTGAGTTATTTGTACCTGGGGGAGGGAAAGTCAAGATGTGTTACCTTAAGAGTACTCCCCCACAGTACGACCATTTAGCAGGTCTATTGGAGGTCTTTAAAGACAAGCTTGTGAGTTATTTGTACCTGGGGGAGGGGAGGTCAAGATTTGTCACCTTAAGAGTACTCCCCTACAGTACGACCATTTAGCAGATCTATTGGAAGTCTTTAAAGTGCTAGTCTTACGAAAATATTAATGACGCAAAAAAATCCCCGATTTTGTATATGCTCAAATAGGTTATGATGTTCACCAATAAACAATAATTGGTTCGAAAAAGAAACTTTTCCCGTCGGAATTCTGCTTCCGAAAATTGTTAAAAACTCATCCGCCATTTCTATGAGCAGCAATTTTGTTGTTGCATTTTAATTTATGTGTGACGTCATATGCGCAACTGGCATCCTTGTTATCCACACTGACTCTACAGCATTCTCTGTAAGAAGGCATGACTTGGTTTAAGGTTTGTTTTTAAATCAAAAATAGTCGAAATTTGGTTGCAATTACACATTGTGAAAAGCCGCAAATTTTGAAGGGTGGCGCGTATGACGTCACTTTCTTCGAATCACTAAAAGTTGCCAGGAACGCAATCGCTTAATGGCAGACTCAAACGGCCAAACTTTACCGGCTAAATGCAACATCTTCCCAGTCTCGTATCGAAAAAGAATTTGGACAGTAAGCTATATTACATATATAGTTTTATATGGTACAATTTCCAGGGATGTGTAATTTTCGTAAGACTAGCACTTTAAAGATAAGCTGGTGAGTTGTTGGTGCCTGGGGGAGGGGAGGGGAGGTCAAGATATGTCACCTTAAGAGTACTCCCCCACAGCACGACCATTTAGCAGATCTATTAGAGGTCTTTAAAGATAAGCTGGTGAGTTATTTGTACCTGGGGGAGGGGAGGGGAGGTCAAGATATGTCACCTTAAGAGTACTCCCCCACAGTATGACCATCTAGCAGGTCTATTGGAGGTCTTTAAAGATAAGCTGGTGAGTTATAGGTACCTAAGTAAGAGGAGGGGAAGAATTTACTTATAAAAAGAGCTCTTTGTATAATTAGCTTGAGTGTAATGTTTTCCCACGTGTCATTACCTAGAGTATCATTTCTTTGTTTAATGGTTTAGCATGAGAAGAAACATGAATATGGATACAACTCAAACAAAAAATTGTCGATGACAAGTGGTGTGAAATGGGGGAACATTAAGCCCAATAACATAACAAAATAACATAAAGTGGTCTATCCTGTCATAACATCCGGGTTAATGATGGGATACAGTAGGGTTTGGAAACAGATATGTTTTTTTATTGATGGTCAGAAAAGGGCTTGGGAATTTGCAGTAAATGTTTTTAAGAAGGGGGGTAGCCCTCACCTTTCATTCAGTAAGAAATTCATGACCCTCCTTTTAATAAGTCTATATTAAGGAAACAGTTCAGCTACATGTTAGGCTCAGAGTAAAGTGTGAGCCTAGTACAGCTTGTATTAGCATAAGTAATGATTTCATTTGTTTAGGCTTGCTCTGCATCACCTTGTCCACCAGTTACAGTATCAGTCCGTTTTACCTACATACTCGATGAATGGACGGACTATGCTTGGCCTCAAGAACCCCCAGACCTTAGTTCCTCCATAGAATGTGAAGTAGGAATGACAGATTTGGGCACCTTACCATTTGGTGCCACTCAAGATCCCATAAGGTACGACATAATTAATATATTGTTCATTAGAGAGGGGCTTGAAATAATGGCTTGTCAGTCACCTGCAATCATGATGACCATGCAATTTTTTTTGAGCTTGGTCATACCTCATTTCTGAATTACTGTGGTTTTCTATATTCTGCGAACTTGGTAGTTGCGAGCTGCGAGCTGAAATTTGTTTTTTCACTGACATCAATAAAAGACAATCTCTGTTGTTACCTTTCATATGACTCGCAGCAGTGAAAACCAATTTCACAAAAAAGCGGATGTTAAAATGTCTGAGTTTGCACAATATCAAAAGCCGTTGTAACTGATCCAAATGAATGGCAAGGCAAACATTTGACCAGCAGACAAATTTCTGATTCAGGCCAGACAATTCTGTAACTTTGATGACTTTGGCCATTATCTTAAATATCCTTAACAATTTTCGTATAAATGGAATTAGATTTCTCTTGTAATGAACAATGAGCTTGGGAGTTGGAATGGATAGAGAAATATATTCCTATGTAAGCGACAGGCCTGGGTCTATATGTTATTGAGTTGTATATAAGCTGTGTCAAGAGATTAATATGTACTCAGTGTGTTCCAAGCTCAGTTGTGATTACATGCTATTTATAGTTTTCACACAATTGCACATGTTCAATAGCCACTGTAGTTAAGTCTACTCTATGATTAAAGGTGTGGATCTTGGAGCCAGGACCCGTCTAGGCAATTATATTGTTGTTATATATGGTTATTGGACTCGAGAGAACTATATATAGGAATAAATACTTGAAATTCATAGCCGTGCTGTAACCGTACCACATGTCATTATCTTTTTATTAGTGAACTTCATCTGTCTACAACATGGCCATGTCTCTCAGAAGAAGTAGTTGTTGATAATGCTATTTACTCGTAAGTGTTCATTATGATTAAGTATGACTGCTGGTGTGTTTTACATATCTCTTGGTCCAACTACCATCCGGGGGGTACTCTTGCCAGTTTAGGGTATGGATGTGCCGCTGAGCCCTCTGAACCCTGACCCTGTTCCAGAGTAAAAATCACTGAAATTCATACCCTGTTCCAGAGCAAGATTGCTGAAAACCCTGTTC